TGTTTTCTCAAAAGGATACTGGAAATTTGCTTAAGGTATAAGAGCTTTGTTATAAAATTCTAAGGGCCTATCCTATGATTCACCTATAGAGGCCTGCTGAAGGCTCCAATTAACCTTGTACATGTCACTGCCAGTTGAAGCATCCCTGGATGCTGAGTTATATGACATCATTTTCCAAAGGGAAACCTGCTGCACAGTTTTTTCCTATTTGTATTCCAGTCAAAAGTAGAAGCTGTTCTGGACTCTTGGCAAATGGGTCACAGTAATACACTCAAATGAAGTATATATAGCCTCCAAATAAAAAAAACACAAAATTTATTAGACTTTGTGTTTTATTTTTGGTTGTAACAGAGGCCATATGCAAAATACTTGTGTTTTACCTTAAAAATATGTCCCATTTCACTGACTTAAAAATTTCACTGAGTTGGAAGGGTTATGGGTTTTTGTACAATTTATTCCCATCTTTTGGTTCAAACAGTATTGCCAATAAATTTACTATAGTTCCTTTTTCTTGTTCAGTAGGTCTAGTCAGCACACGGTCCCCAGTGAAGCAGACTAGTGTGATAACCTCTGGAGGAAGCAGTGATCAATATTCTTGAGAAGGTATTTGAAAATCATGTATCTAATAGAGAATAGATGAGGAAAGGTAGAGAAGGCAAAAAAATAAGGACCAAGATATATCATGTAAAGGTGCAAATTCCCTATGATGAATGTGATCATAATGTGTACCTAAAATGCACCAATAAACTTAATGAAGAAAAAGTCCATAATTAGAAAACTAATAACCCTATTAGAAAATGGCAAAAGGATTGGGGGATGTAGCTCAGTGGTGCTTTAGCATGCACGAGATCCTTGATTTCATCGTCAGCATTACACAGAGACCAATGAGCAGATCTGAGCAGATATTTTGAAGATGAATATATGCCGATGTCAAATGAGTATACAAAAAAATTAGACTACCTTAATCATCAATAAAATGCAAATAAAATCACAATGTATGTCACAACTCACTTATTAAGATGATAAAAATTGAAGAACTACTCATATTAGAAGCACCAAGGAAGAACTTTTACAATCAAACACAGGAAAAGATATGACTTAAGAAAAAATTCCACAAAAAATTAAGAGGGCGGTCAGTGTAAGTCAAGTTCCAATCATGGTAACAGGTATCTCTGCACATCAGGTTACTTATTCTATGTTTTTGTAGAGTTTTTACAATGACTTCTTTTTTACCTGTGTTATTTTTCCTTATACATAATTCTTTTTTATACATAATTCCAAGAAAACAGGGTGATTAATGAAAAAAAATGGCATTTTTATTTTTGTTTTCATGGCTCTCCTGATGTTCTGGATCAATTAAAAACAGTTCTCTTTCATAGTCATTTTGACTTTGAAGAAGAGCCAAAAGTTGCATGGGGTCAGATCTGGTGAATAAAGTGGGTGAGAACACATTATAATATTTTTATGAACCTACCTATCTGTTGAATTTCATTTGACAGCAGCATTCACTATATATTTGATCACATCTCACAGAGACACTAACAAAAATGGACTTCCAGAACTTCTTCTGAAAGAAGTAAAAATTATGATATGAATATATCTCAAGAAAGAGAGAATATTTTGAAGGGTCTAATGACAACCTGTTCTTTATTTTAATAATTGTTTGCAGTCTAATGATTCACTACATATTTTGGTAAATCCTTGTATGCTTTTTGTTTTTCTCCTATCTTTCCTGGCATGAAATGAATGGAGATTTAACTTTTTATTTCATAAAAACCTTTTACTACAGAGATAATTGTATATCAGTATTCAGATATCAAATATAAATATCATAATGGGTATATTGAATTTTATTTTTATAAATAAATATTTATTCACAACTCATTTGGTTTATACTCAAAAGGAATTTTGAGCTTGCTACTACCATGTTCACAATTGATTAATTGTTTTTCCTTTAACCTGGGGAACAGAAAGAAGAAAGTGCTGGCCTAGCCTCACAAGTTCTTTGTGATCTCTTAAATGCTAATTCCCTGTGCCACCATCTAGCTTCTTTCACCTCCTCTCTTTGCAGGGCAGTCATGTTTACATTTTTTGGTTTCTCTAAGCACCAAGGCTCTCTTGTAATCTAGGTCCTTCAGTGATGAAGGCCCTATGGGTGGTGGATCCACAAGAACCACTTGTTTACAAGAAGTAAGACTTCCAAACTTGAGCCCAGAGCTACTGAAACAACCCCACATTTAAACAAGATCTCTAGGACATTAGTGGGCATTTGAGTTTGAGAAGCACAGATATATGTCGCCTTCCACTGAAAAACTTGTCTTTTTATTTTTAGCTACTTCTTCTAACATTTGACTAATACTACTTCTCGTCAGTTTTTATCTTAAAGTGGAGAAGCTAGGTATTTATCTAGATTTGAGACAGAGTTTTCAAGAGGATGGCATTTATACTTGGGGTCAGTTCCTGCAAAGAAGTAGATCTCTGGCTTATTAACATCATGTTTTGATTAGCTCAGATAGAGGCATACCAATCAAAGCCCTCACAACAGTACATTTTAGATACAAA